ATATCTATGACTCAGGTTTAGGATCTAGATTATAATATGTGTGGATGGGAGTATTCTACCTAATCTGGGGCATGAAGAGCTAATTGTGAGTGTTAGAGGAGCTGAACACGCAGCGCTAGCATGAGCATGTGATCTGAGTGCGCCATATTTTGGAGAGAATAGGAAACATCCACCTTGGTTTTTGGGTGTTTTGAATGGTGTTTTTTTGGGGAGTACTCAAATTTCAGACTCATCACCTATGAAAGTTTACTTGACCTCCAGTACAGTAGGTGGCGATAATGCTCCTAAGGAGTTATTCGCCATAAAACAAGAAGAAGAAGAAATAGTGCTCCGTGCATATGGTCAATTAGAGCTAGCTAGAGCGGGTGGTGAAGTAGCTTACTGGGCAAGAGTGGAGAAGTTCAAGGCGTCAAAGGAGGATTTGCTCATTGCCACGTATCCTAAAGCAGGTAGAGTACAAAAGACTGAAAACAACATGATGAAAACAACACAATGCCATTTAAATAAAAAATAATCTCGTAAAAGGAACTACATGGACACAGGAAGTAGTGGATAGCATCCTGAATGAAGGAGAACTTCATTCGAAAGTGCAAGCGTGTGCCCACTCAGGTGCGCATGCCATTTTTAGAGATGACCTCTCTTGATGGTTCAAGTTCTGGTATGTTTAATAGAACCAAAAACTGTTTAGCAACACACATACATACATACATACATACATACATTAGGGCTGGCAATTTAACGTGTTAATTAGATTAATTAATTACGGTGAAAAAGTGATTAATAAATGGCACCTACTGGCAGTTTTAGTTTATTATTTAGAGTATCATTTCATTAAAGAAATATTTCATATTTCCATAGTAATAATAATAAAATTAATTATTAAAGGTATAGTTCACCCACCCAAAAATGACAATTGTGTCATCATTTACTCACCCTCATGGTCCAAAAGAGTAAATGTAATAAATTTGATCAAATAAAATATTTCTTGCTGAAGCTACTTGATAAATGTCTTGTGTTTTATGTTAATCACAGGGCTTGTGGGTGCTTGTGGAATCTGGGTTCTTCGTAACCTTTTAAAAACTTGTTTGTTGAGGCACGGAGGTTAGTTATATGTGCTATGTTGTTTAACCCATGCTGTATGGCTGAAGATAATATATATTTAATATTATATAATATTTCAATAAGTCAAGTCAAGTCAAGTCTGCTTTATTGTCAATTCTTCCACATGTACAGCACATACACACAGAGAATTGAAATTGCGTTACTCTCAGACCCTTGGTGCATACAGATAACACTAACAGTAGAACATAAATACAGATAGATACAGATTTAAATATAAAATACAACTATACAATTATACAAATAAGGTCAAATGTAAAAAAAAAAATATATAAAGCAGCATAAGGCGCATGGCAGATAGAGTGCAAACCAGTGAAGTAAACAACAGTGCAGATATAATGATTGTAGTGCAAAAGAGCTTATTCAGACTGATTAAAGTAACTGTGTGTGTGTGTATTTGGGAGGGGGGAGTGGGAGAGTCCATCAGAGGGTCAGAGTTCAGTGGTGCGTGGGGCAAAAGAGGGGAGGGGGGGCAAGGTCGGGAGGGAGTTCAGCTTCCATCAATAACAAGATACGACAGTTTTTGTGTTGATGTTTTTGTACATTTCTCTTGGCTGTCTTTTAAGTATCGCAGATCCTGAAACAGACATTAAACGAAGGAACAGGCTAAATGGTGGAATAATAGAGAAAATTCTGTTCTGGTTCCTAACAGTGCTTCTCTCTGTTGTGGGGTCTCGTGTTGCATCACTAATAGTTTTAGAGTTCCCTCTTAGAGCCATTTCAGCACGGATCACAGGAGGATCAGTACGAGCATAATTGATTTATGACATTTAATACATTTGTTCATGACAACTCGTTATCATTCTAGATAAAATGTTCTTGTTCTTTTTTGTTTAGGACTCAATAATGGACCCATTGTTACTGCTGATTATCCAGTGCCAGTTCTCCTTGGGCTGCGCACTAACCTGCAGCCTTAATTTCCTCCATGAGGGGGCACCACAAGGCTGGCTAAGCCTCCTCCTTGCAGTTGGACTGAGCTGGTTCTTGGCAAGCAGATGCAGCAGAATATGGCGACATGTAAATACAATGTATCCAATACACAGTACACAGCGCTATTGTGGACTTTGCATTGGACTATTAACCACTGGCACTTCTATATTAGTCTGGCTCTGCAGTGCCTTAATTATAACTTTTAGCGTATCTGGAATTGCTGCCATATCAAACATAAACCAAAACTTTCTATCGACCACTGAGGCTCTGAGATTTTGTACCCCACTCACAATATGCTACACTCTGCTGGTTGTGTACATGAATGGTAAGGCAATCAAATGGTAACACTTAATGGTTTTAACAGTTCTATTCACTGATTCTAAGACATGATTTAAAATTGTAATCTTTTGTAACATTATAAATATCTTAACTGTCACCTTTGATCAGTTTAATGCATTGTTGCTGAATAAAAGTATTAATTTCTTTAGAAAAAACAACAACCTTTGAACAATATTGTAAATTTCATGCCAACACTGGCCATCATTTGAGTCTAATCATAAGTATATAATCAATCTTTCAGAGGATCGACATCAATCGCCTGGCCAACAGATTCTCAATACAGTCGTTGTGCGCCTGGGTGGGCTTTTCGTGTTACTGATTACAGTGGGCAGCTGGTCAGATGTAGTCCGTGTTCTAATCTGCTTCATTGGTGAAGCTGCGTGTCTGTTACCATCTCAAGACCTTTTGGAAGCCATATATCAGGTTAGAACTAATAATTAATTGCATTTGCTGATCTCTTCATCTGATCCCCAAGGCATCCATTATATAACTAAGATTATGTGCATAAAATTTAATCATATACTGTATTTTCACAGCATGTCACCTATGTGCCTAAAGGCCCATTAAAAAGCCATGGAAAACGGGAGGAACAAAGGAAATTGGAAAGGAAACTGGACTAGGCTTGGATGAAAACAAACTTGACCTATTCAGCCTATATATATATAGGCCTACACACACACACGTTCTCTACAAAATACATTTAAGTGAAGAGATGTGCTTTTTAAGTCCTTAATATTTAAAGTCCATTTAGCTTTACTCCCTTAACCTTTACATTCATTTACACTCCCTTAACATTCAAGTACTGCATGAAAAATTAATGCCTTATGAATGCCTTCCATCGTAATAAATATAGCTATTCAATACATTTATGTATACGATGAATTGCATTCATTCCCTCTATACCTAAATACATAATTTTGTTTAATCACGAATATAATTAGAGAGAACTTAACGTGATTAAATTACATTTCACATCTTGCCACAAACGATATTCATTTTGATTATCTATGACTTGGATATAGGAACAGTAACAAATAGTTGTATTTGCTAGGGTCACCCAGGCATTATAATAAAGATAACTAATACATCAAAAACAGTTCAAAATAGCAATTACACTCACTAAATAATTGTGTGTTGTCTTGTAACATTTTTGAGCCCATTAAAGGCAGCCAAGCGCTAAAGTTGTTAAACTGAACTTGAACCCAAAATAGCTCCACTGGAAACAAAATGGCCGCGGCGCTGTCATTTCTTTTGTTGTGCTGGTTTTTTTCTGCACTAGGTTATGCTCAAAATGGCGTCATATTTCAAAGAACATTCTTTCGATAACTGGCGCCAAAAATTAACAACTGAACATTCACGAACATCGAGTTTGTGGTCTGTTTGTGACGCGTAAATCGCTCTGGCATGCAATCTGCAAGTGTTTAATTCTCCACGGTCTCCAGGATGTTTTAAAGCGCTCAAACATACAAGGACAAAACATTTCTCTCAAACGCATTCCACATTCTGTCGCTTTTTTATATAATCCAGTTGTTTCCTCTGTCGAATAAATACATTACAATTATTTTTTTTAGCAATTTAGTAAAGCAGTAAATGTCTTCATGTCCTTAGAAGTTTGCCACACCGTCTTGTGGTGTTTAGGAGCAAGAAGAAAAAAAGAACATTGTTGTCCAAGTATCCAGGGGAATCATTTATTGTATAACATGCAACAATATTGTTTAGGCCTAAAGTGCGCTTTTGTATTTCCAACGTGCAACCAATCCCAAATCCAATCCCAAAAGCACTGTCAAATAATTACATTTTATTAGTTCTATTCCATATATTAAGGATTTAGGCAGATCCAGAAAGTCCAGTGAATTCCAGTGAAGACTCAAGACTGAATCTGAAGATTATGTGGCTTGCTCAAGATCCAGCTTGAGAACCAGCTCCACCTCAGTACAAGTTCCAGAATTTTCTGCCAGTCAGAGGGTTTGTAATTGCTCTTTGTCAAAACTATGTGGGCGTGTAAAGCGCACGCGCTATTCATCCATTGCGGTCCCTGTTTTGCCGCATTCTGGCGCATGCGTGCATCAAATCAAACGCCTCGTGCATAGTTGGAAAACAGTCAAATGTTTGTTTTAATAAAGAAATGTTATATGATTGGACATTATCTTGGGTGTTTCTTCAGGACACCATTTGATTGCCACAAGCTAGTGATTAATCATCGCCTTTATTTACATTTTGGACAGCTGATCCTTGCTGTAAACAGACTACTGTCATTAATTATTAAGCTTACATTCGATGCGATGCTTGTCTTTTCAATAACTAATCATGCTAAAGGCATCCTTCTTGCCGTTGTAGTTAAGACTGGGAGATGTCCGACCACTAATCTCCCACAAATACAGATGGAACTATTATTATCATCTAGAGAGAATCCAGTTGAAGAAGTTATTTCCTCTAAATACACTAGTTCACTTGAGTACAGAGGATCTAGTCATGTCTTTTGTTTTGACTTGTAAGTCCTATATCAAACAGACAGTTCCCACCTGGATTTTGGGAAAACAAATGGATGTGCAAACGTATCAAAGCAGCAGTACTGAAACTAATAATACTGTCATCAACACCGTCCAGCCACTGACTCGCGAATAAAGAGTTTGCGGTAAACCACGAGTCTCATACATTTTACACCCCAAGATTATGATTAACTTGCATTTTAAAGTCATGTTCCACAAAAAGGCTATCAAATGTCAAACTAAAGCAAAGGGAACCAAGTCTGACTTTTACCTTGCACGCTAAACCAGGGCATTATATATATACACATTTTAACATTTAAAAGTGATTTACAATAAAATATGTCATGTCCGATTTTATCCATGAGGAATTCCGAGTGCTTATTGCTTATGCGCGATCTCGTCATGAACCGGAGCGCGCTCCTCGACAGCGAGGTTCAGGCTCTCGTAGTCAACACAGCTTTCACGCGCAAGCGGGTCCAATCGTAGTGTCGAGTCAGAGGAACTGCTCGCCCACCGTAACACACATTCAGTCGGATTTAACTCAGTAAAATCTTCTGTATGGTCGGGGGACACCAAAACGCAGTATGGTCCGGGAAACCAGACATTTATGGGTGGGGAATTTACCAGAAAATGTACGAGAGGAAAAAATTATCGAGCACTTCAAACGGTAAGTGACGATTTGCCGAGAGCGAGACAACTTCCAGCAATGTGCTTCCTTCAAGTGTTTTGGGGGGGGGGGGAAACAATAGCAGCACACCGGTGCAGAGTTAAACACATTAAACGTGTGCCACAACTTTCGCAGCGACGCTGCTATTGAGTTAGCTTGTTTTGGCTCACTTAACGTACGCTGGCTAGTGAGTTAGCTTTCGAGAGTCGCAGACGTCGCTAGGTTGCTAATTAGCACGGAGGGTCGCATACAAGCGCATAACTATTGGCTTCAGTTTGCTTTAATTTGCAACCCAGATGTCAGTAGCTAGCACCTCTTAAAAGTAGTAACGTTTATTGCTCGATGGTTGAAAAAAAAAATACTGCGAGCGAGTTGAATGGGCTAAATGGTGTCTGTACTACTAAAGGCATCACAGTGGGTGTTGTTATGAGCTTCCTCGGCTCAGATGTCATGAATGTCAGGCGAGCTCTGACCGTCAGTGGCTGCATCCACAAGAAGTCAAACAATAGCAGTGTGGGGTTTAATTTCAAGACGAGTTTATGTATGAAAATGTGCAGGACCAACCTGCAAATTATTATGTCAGTCTATAAACGTGGCTACGGGTCCTATTACTGCACCAATAGGACGTTTGAGTTGTCAGCCAGAAGTTTGTGTATGTATGGCGGTGAGGTGTACTCTCATACGCGGGCTGTTTTGTCTAGCATGGCAGCAAGACATGATTTTTAGTGTTAAAAGAAACATCTAGCGTTCAAAACCACCCATATCTGCACGTTGTACCCACATACCTGAGGGGGTTTTATGCGCATTTCTGACCTGTATGGATTCAGGTAATGCAAGGTATCGTTTTTCAATGAATTCACTCAGAAGTTACAACCTGGCTTTGGTTGGAAGGCGTAACTAAATCAGAACAACACGGTTTGTTGGAACTAAATGGTGCGAATCTGTCTTTAGCTCACGTCTGAAACAGCGTGGTGAGATTTCTCCCTCAGTAGTGACATCGCAGTATCGTGTATTACACGTCGAACACATTTGACTTTATATCGTTTATATCGTCCCAAAACCTTAACTATATCGCACATCTCTCTATAAAAGGTTGGATTTCTAAACATATCCAGCTTTATCCGCATTCATATAAGTTACATGCAGTATGGTCACGCAAAGCGAAACTACATCGCAAGTACCAACTACATGATTGTTTGTATCGTTGCAAAATGTAAACTATATTATCGCCCAGCTCTGTGCGACGAATTCATGAAGGTATTATAAACATTAACGTTATGTTTGTCTGTAAAGCTGCTTTAAAACAATGCACGTTGTAAAAAGCACTATATAAGATTGACTTGACTAAAGGCTGTCTAACGACTTTAGTGACCACAAATGCATAGTCTATCTGTTACGTGTTTGTACAAATACAATCAAAACACACAGATGTAGTCTTTTAAAAAAATGCAGGTGTGATCGAACTCATCATAATGGTGTTTTTGTTGGGTTGTATAACTAGTTTGTATTGTGCTGGAGATTTCCAAGCTGAAGTTAATGAACATAACACTGAATAGCAAGATATTACTTCGCGAGTCGAAAACACACACACACACACATAAGATTTGTGTAAATAATTTATTCATCTACCAAACGCTTTGTTGTCTCAACGGTAGGCTTTTGTTCTATTTAGCTTTGAATTGTAATGACGGTCGCCCCTTGAACGGGAACTAAATAAAACGCGCTCACGCTCAATTGTGACGGAATATTAAAGGACAAATGGGTTTCTGTTGTATAAAGGAAATAAATCCAGATCTATGCATCTATATAAATAAATGCAACATTTAAGTACCCCGAAGTGATTTGTGTACGGTGACTGACAAAGCTCAGGTCAGTGCGACAGAGGTACTTATTGAAGATGGGGGACGCGAGAATGAATAAGCAGTGTGAATAGGTTTGTAAAATGGCGACGGATATGTGAGTGTGAGAACTGGTGTGTCAGACAGCTACTCACCTAGAACACCCATTTGAATGCCTGTTGTTTATTACTCCTTTTCATATTTTGCTTACCAAGTGTTGTTTTAACCCCCATGTACACCTGTCATCGATTTACGCATGTTTTGTTTATTTGTTTGATGATTGACAGCAAATTAATGTGTAGTATATTTACTTGAAGCTTATGCAAGAACCATGTTTCAAGGATTTTAAAGTGAAAAATAATGTACGTTTATTTACATAGGGCACAGGTACATAGGGCAGATCAAGACATCCTAATGAGGTTTCAAGCCTGAATGATTTGACAGAATTATGACATTTGACTGAATTCTGGCATTCATATATGCTTATTGCTTAATGGTACATAGAGCTTAAGGGTAGAAAAAGGCTATGTTGGTTATTTTGCAATTCTGTGGTGCACCAGAAACAGGCTATCAAAATCTGATATTTGTTTTCCTACCATAATTATTGGATGTATTCAAATGAAGGGAGATATTACTGGCATATGGTTGATGGTACTCATACAGTGGCACATTTTTGTGTGAGGATGCAAAAGGCAGGCTGTTTTTATTTGAATAGCCTTATTTACATATTGCACAAATGACTGGCATGCAGGTTTGTTTTTTACTTAGCCCTTTGCAGATTGGATGTAGATGGTTATTCAGATCAGCATAATTGATTGCAAGTATCATGCAGTGCATCAGTGTTGACTACAATTAAATACTTTTTCTGCTCTTTTTTTGTTTTTGCTTTTTTTTTTAGGTATGGACGTGTGGAGAGTGTCAAG